CTAATACATGGAAATTAAAAGCTGTATAAGAAAAATTAGACATGGGAGTGAAGGATTAGTCTTACATTTGTCTTTCTCAAATTACATTATTCTCTTGTGATCATTGGAAGAAAGAGTAATACAAAGATTTTATTGAATTATTTCCATTGAAAAGCTCAACGATGGGTTAATTAAAACTAACACATCTTTCCTTCAAATGAACCACTTAGCAATGTTCTGGGCACCAAATTTAGAGATGGAAAGCTTCCAAGCTGTTACGTTCCAAGACTTTTCAGTTAATTAGTGCAAAGAAATTATTTTTATCTATGCATCATGTAAAAGATTCAAAAACTAGGTCAGGAATTTTTTTTGCCTTTTGTTATTTAAGTTTGGGACTGGTTGAAGGTACAAGAAGTTAGTAGAGGATGAAGAGTATATACCATCAGATTGGAATTGCTCAGTGTTAAGTCATTAGTAGTGACTACTAATGGCTTTAGCCGTGAGGTCCAAGATTTCCAAAATATTAAAGAAAGATACTGTATTATACTAAGAGCAGCCTTACACTTTCCTAACACCAAAGCCTTTTCCAGTGGCCCCTGGAGCACACGACTTACCTGCATCCACGTTCCCAGGCACATTCTACAAGAGTGCAACTGAGTGTGTTGAGTTTTCATTTCACCGACTGAATGGTTCAGGCTAAACAATACTGGTTTATGACGTGAAGACGAGGTACCCAAGTACTACAACCCACCTCATATTGCAAAGAGAATGTTGACCTTGGAAGATATGGGGGTCACAGAAATATGGGCTCAGAGTCAGAAGGGGTCCTTGAGTCTTTTAATCCCAGCTCCCATCCACTGTATAGTCATCCCCGTTATGGGGATGGGGTCTGTGGTAAGACCTCCAGTAGACGTCTGAAACCATAAAGAGTGTCAAACCCTCTATGTGTTATGTTTTTTCCTCTATATATACATACTTATGATAAAGTTTAATTTATCATTTAGGCACCGTAAGAGATTACCAACACCTAATAATAGAACAACTGTAACAATACACTGTAATAAAGTGTGAATGTGGTCTCTCTCTCTCTCTCTCACTCAAAATATCTTACTGTATGGTTCTCGCCCTTCTTCTTGTGATGATGTGAGGTGATAAAATGCCCATGTGATGAGATGAAGGGAGGTGAATAATGTAGGCGCTGTGACATAGTGTTAGGCTATTATTGACCTTCTGACGATACATCAGAAGGATCATCCACTTTTGGACCGTGGTTCACCGCAGGGAAATGGAACTATGGAAGGCGAAACTGCAGATAAGGGGGGCTACTGTAGCTGGTTGTCGTCTTTACTTCAGGGCTTCGAATGATGGGCCAGCATGAAAAATGATGGTCTAAGGTAAGCATTTTAAACAAAATAACACCGTGTAACCTTAGTCCGTAATTTAGAAAACTGTACAGTTTAGATTTCATACCACGATGGAAAAAGCCTCACAGAAGCTATTAACACTTGCAAAGATGGCATTAATTCCATGATTCTTGACCGCAAAGGCAGAAGATACATGGTAAATAGATGCATTAGAAAAAAATTTCACATAGTAACCAAAGTTGCACAGAGATACACACACACACACACACACACACACACACACACGAGTGTTAATGGCATTTATTCCATGTTGCAACTATTCAAAAAGCACTTCCTGAACACCTCCTGTGTGCCATAGCCATCATGAGCAGTGGAGTCCAAGCTGGAGACTGCTACGTTTCACACTGATCTTTCCACACTCTTTTTGCATCCTGCCGCACATCTTCCCCTCTCTGGGAGCCATATTAAAAGTATCCCAATAGGGGCACCTAGGTGGCGCAGTCGGTTAAGCATCCGACCTCAGCCAGGTCACGATCTCGCGGCCCGTGGGTTCGAGCCCCGCGTCAGGCTCTGGGCTGATGGCTCGGAGCCTGGAGCCTGTTTCCGATTCTGTGTCTCCCTCTCTCTCTGCCCCTCCCCCGTTCATGCTCTGTCTCTCTCTGTCCCAAAAATAAATAAATGTTGAAAAAAAAATTAAAAAAAAAAAAAATAAAAGTATCCCAATAAATGGCGTGGACTACGAAAGCTTAAAAAACAGGAAGGATCTCACACTGACATTTTCATAGCATGTGACTGGCTTTTAAAGAGTTCTTTGTTTCTAGCATTGGCAGTATTTCCGATTTGCGTCAGCCCAAGGCCCTGGGTCCTTCTGGTGGCCCACCCCGATGCTCACTTTCCTCCTGAGTGTCTGTTCCCTTCATTCCGGCCCCGTCACACTAGGCCCCCATCATTTCCCCGTCATTCTGCCTACACGGCGACATGGATTATGGCACCCCCCAACAGCTTCTTCACCCTCTTCCCACGTAGACTGGTCAGAATTGCTGCACGCTCACTTGTTCAACATGACGTCAATGCTGCTGACGTGAGAGCACCTGATGCTGCTGGGGGTAGAACAGGGCACACGGTCTGCAAAAAGGGCTGTTCTGTGCCCACTTCTGCTCTTCGATGCCCCCTCTAGCACCTCTTTCTGTAGCCAGGATGTCTGGCGGGATCACTCCTCTAGGCAAACATCTCACCACCACATAGGATTCGATTTCCTTTGATTTGACAGTGTTATAGAAGGAGCCCAGCTACTCACCCTTCATTCTTTCAGTTATGGTGAGAAGATCTTAGTTTGATTCCTTCCTTTATCATTTAATACTCAAATGATTTGATGCGAGTCTTTTCATATAATACTCCACGGAAAAACCACTAGTAGTTACGAGCATTAAAACAGCGTGGGTAAATGCTCCAGTACAGACCTTCAGGGGTGCTAAAAATGTGTTGAACTTGGATCTGATTCATAAAGGCTTTTTAGGAACTTTTAGAGATGACAAGAATTTAAAAAGGGTAAATCTTATTTTTAAAATGACATCTAATTCCTAATATCAACGCTGGACAGCTCAGTCCTGACATGTTTACATATCTGACCACCTGGGCTCTGGGGCCAATGCCTCATGCCCTGCTCTATGCCATTCTATGCACTCCTACTTGTCTGCTTGTTGTTTGGCTTTGAGGAAACGTCCAAGAATGTGGGCTTAGTAACCTTCCTTATTTGGAATCGGAAACATGCTCAGCTGATTAGATGTGTGTTTCCATGGCTTTTCCCTGCACATGTGTAAAGTGGGATCGTTGTGAGTACAGGTCCATGATGACCTAAATCCCTTCCCAGTCATTATCATGGCCATCCAGTCATCTATCTGCCCCCTGGACACTGTGACCAATCTCCCAATCTTCAGTACCTTCCCCGCTCACCATAATACCTTCATATTACCTCGCCATAGTATACTTACGACCCGTTTTTAGACTCATAATCATTATTCTGGCAATCTCAGCCATCACTTACTCCAGCCAAAGCAGCTCTTTCTCTGCTTCTGTTCTTACCATCTTCTACAGCTATTTTTTTTAAATCAACTCAATTTTGTAGAACAGTTTTAGATTTACAAAAAAATTATGAAAATAGTACATACAGAGATTTCTCACATGCCCCTGAATCTAGTTTCCCTTACTAGTGGCATCTTATATTTAGTATGATATATTCGTTGTTATTAGTGAACCAAAACTGATACGTTATTGTTACTAAAGTCTATATTTTATACAGACTTCCTTAGTTTTTAAAAGATTGTGCTAAATATATATATATTTTATATATACACACACACACACACACATATATATATATATATATATATATATATATATATATATATAGCATAGCATTCACCATTATAACCATGTCTAAGTGTGTGGTCCAGTGGCAGTGAGCACATTCACATTGTTGTGCAAACATCACCAACAGCCACCTTCAGAGTTCTTTCCATCTTGCAGAACTGAAAGTCTGTGCCCATTAAACAAACACTAACTCCCCACTCCCCCCTGCTCCCACCCCTTGACAAGTACCATTCTAAGTTCTGTGTCTGTGAATTTGACTATTGCTAGATACGTCATATACGTGCAATCATCTGGAATTTGTACCTTTGTGACGTTATTTTACTTAGCATAATGTTTTCAAGGCTTGTCTATATTGTCCGTCGTCATCTGTCTTCAACCAACTTCAAAAAGGGATGTTCCTGCATATTCTAATCTTTCTGCCATGGCTTATCTACGTTCTGATTCTCTAGTGTGGAGTTGGGTCTCTTCTACAAGGAATCCTAGCTTGCCTTTATTTCTGGGACTTTGTCCTAAATACTATTTAGCATTTGGGGCCCAAGACCCTCTGCTAGAACGAACTTTTCTAAAGCACTTATTATGCTTCAGCTCTCATTCTAAGCAATATATACATATTATATAATATGTGTAATGTTATACACATATACAATATTTATAACAATAAGATACACAGTCTTTTGTCGACTCTTCACAATATCCCCCTGAGGTAGGTATCATTAATTCCATTCCACAGATTAGGAAATAGGCATAGGGAGGTTAAAGTAACTTGTCAAGGGAATACAGTTAACACATGACAGTCCCAGAATTAGAACCTAGGCACCCCTAGAACATCCTCTAATGTTTCTTACTTCCTGCCAACCCTGGCTTCCCTTCCATCAGGGAAGCGTTCAGTTCTCTCTACTCCTAATATGCTCACAAATGGACACATTTCCTCAGCTGCTGCTGACTTTTCTTGCACTCTCTCTCTCTCTGTTGCCCTGGTTGCCAGTTTGGGCCTGGTGGTACCAGTGTTTTCCTGAGCCTGGTCTGAGCTCCTGAAGCCCTCTGTCCCCTAGTTCTGTGGACCGCCTAGGCTCTGGAGCCTCTGGCTCGTGCTGTGTGCCATTCTGTCTCTTCCCCTTCCCTGTCTTACTCCCGTGGGTGTCGAGCTGCTTCCAGTGCCAGTACATCTTCAGCCAGAGCCTCTCAGTCACTAATCTTTATGTTAAGTGTAAGTTTCAACTACAGGGCAGGTGGCTCTCGTGTCCCACTAACATTTTACCTTATAATCTGCGAGGCTGGCAATACACGATAATTCAATTCAAAAGCCACAGTGGTCGTATGACCTGGATTCATAGACAAAGTTTTATAACTGGGTTGGGGCTCCACCTTTCACATATCCTCATTTCACGTCTAAAGTCATCTATCTCTGTTCTCGTGTGGACGTGACTGCTGTGTGCCAAGGGCCAAGGGTACAGGTTGCTGTCACTTAGCTGTGTCGAGTACGCTTTTTGCATGCTGGGCACAAAAGGCATTCTTAGAAAAAGGCACAGAGTCAGAGGCTGCAGCAGGGAGGAGACAAGGTACACAGGACAGCAATCTGAGCTTCACTGGGAGCAAATCAGCACATGCAAGCACATTTGGTTGTATTGCTGAGCTAAGCTTTGTTTGGGTCTGATCTTCCAATCTGTGGCCTCAGGGCAAACAGGTGATCAGGTGTGTGTGTGTGTGTGTGTGTGTGTGTGTGTGTGTGTGTGTGTTCAGCATTTGCGCAGCTGGCTGGCATGGAAGATAGACACTGTTACAAATTCTTTACCACAAAAGAGGAACGCTGCACAGAGGTGGTCAAGAACCCAGATACAGGAAAGTGAGTAAGACGGGACCTCTGCTTTATACTTCTCTTGCTACTAAACATAACTGGAAAGAGGGAGGGAGGAAGCTGCTGGTGTGGAGATTGGTAGCAGGCTGTGTGTGTATGTGTATATGTGTGCATATGTGTGCACACGTACAAAGGACCTCATATAGGAGCAGCCAAATGTTACTGGGGGATAGTGCCATAGAATACATTCAAATACATATTCTAAAATCATATATAAATTCATTGCTTCCGGCCAAAATATTTAACAATAGAAACACAGTTTAGCAAAAAATAGTTCATGGTAGAATATAACACAGTTATGGAATTCATAAGGGCTGTTCTCTAACATTTCATTTCTTGTCCTTCTAGGCACCCAGCACATGTACAACCCCATCGTCCCCGAAGCTGCCTTGGCTACGGGACTTCTTTGGCTGGTGGGAAGTTGCTGAGGGAACGGGGGAACGGGCTACTTCCATACAGAGTTGTAACAGCCCGTCTATGATCTGCTGTCCCTCCTTACCTGCCTCAGTGATGGTGGGAGTGTGTGTCTCAATCCTGTGGGCGGGCGGGCGGGTGCCTGAGCGAGGATGAGAAGCAGAGCCCTCTGCTGACCTGAACTAGAGATGCAGTGATTAAGATGTGACTGAGTCGTGTTTAGCCCCTGAGCTGTGGGAGTTATTCTACTAACACGCGCTGCAAGGACACTAAGGAAACACATTAATAATCTGAGCCTGGAAGGGAAGACAACAGGCAAAAATGAAAAGCAGTGTTCGTTTTTCTTTTTCACTTACAAAGAGGATAGGAAGCTCACGGAACATGAAAGAAACAATGGATTGTTTCTAAGATTCTATTCTCATACAAATTTGAATTTATAGCAGAAGACTTTATGCAAGAAAGCACTGGGAATACATTCCAGCTATTCTGCCGAAGGGTGCTATTGTATTTAAATTAAGTAACCCTCACCTAGCAGCTTCAATAAACACAATTTGTTAGGGGAAGACATTTCCCTTGTCTTCCAGAGTCAGGTAAAGAATGATTTCGTCCTTTTTTTTTTTTTTTTTTTTTAAATATAAGTTATTGTCAAATTGGCTAACATGCAGCGTGTAAAGTGTGCTCTTGGTTCTGGGGGTAGATTCCCGTGGTTCATCACTTATATACAACACCCAGGGTTCATCCCAACAAGTGCCCTCCTCAATGCCCATCACCCATTTTCCCCTCTCCTCCGCCCTAATTTCATCCTTTTAAGTCACAGGAAATTGTTGCTTCTGTCCCCACAGTCTTCTCTTGAATCAGAAGTATTATCTCCAAACTCAGATCTCTCTCCCAGGGCTTAACCTCCTCCTGAAATATGGAAAAGTCTGGTGGATGGGAAGGGGATTGCCACAAACTAGAAATATAAAGCTTGCTGAACTGGGCAGGAAGCAGGTTCAGTGACCTTGGAATGCCAACATGCCCCTGGCACTGAAGGAGCTCACATTCTTAGGGACCCAAACACCTAAGACATGTGACAATCTGCCATTGACCAAAGCATGGATCTGAATGCCACACAGCAGCGGCGGATATGGGAGCTCCACTCAACAGTGAGTGAGCCCAGCCAACCACCCTGTACCCACAGCTCATCCCAGCTTTATTATTGGTTCATGTTGAGAGAGATTATAGACTTGAGATTTCAGCATTGACTCTGGGGACAGGCAGCCTGAATCTGTATCCTTGTTCCACTACTTACTAGCTGGAAATCGGGGTGAGTTATGCAATCTCTCTGTGCTTTAGTTTTCTCCTCTGAAACATCTCACAAGTTGTTGGAGGATTGAGAGTTACATACGTAAAGCTCTCAGCATGGAGCCCCTCACACACCGTGAGGGGAGCGCTGGGTCAGTTTTCATTACCCTACTGCTGTTATTACTCTGCCTACAGTCCCTATAACCCCTGTGAGGTGGCGACGCTTTGCTTGGAACAAAACTGCCCCCCAGGAGTGCACTCCTTGTACTGGAAGTGGAGAGAAGCGGGGGTTGTATACATCTGACAATTCTTAGAAGAAATTCAAATATTTTTGTCTAATATTTGTAGCATCATTAAGGTTTTGAAGGGGCCACTTCACATTTGACTGCACTTTATGGGAGAAATTATGTGCTATTACGGCGTCGTTTATGAACCTGAACACGGGCTAAGGGCTCAGGGACTGGTTTGTAAGAATATTAAGGGTCTGCCATACTCCACCCTAAGGTGGAGAGGCAGTCACACCTCCTTGCCCTTTACAAGGCTGAGGAGGTGAGAACTTTGTGGGAAGAGTGACAATCCAGGATCATTAGAGGATAACCACAGCAGCAGAGGGTGCCTTTGGGTCTCCAGAGCTCAAGGGGCCAGACCATAGGACGGAAGAAAGATGCAGGCATCTGGCAAGGAAGGACTAAAAGAGAGGGCATCAGGTGTCCTTCTAGATTATTCCACCCAGTTAAAGATAGATCTGAAGCAGACAGTTCAGGAGTAAAGACTGTATAACTGGCAAGTTTCTCTGGTAGCTACTGGGAGGCTGAACATATAACAAAGAGGAATTTGCTAGGGTGCAATTATGCTGACACGACCTTGTTCATTATCCGGGCTTGTGAATGAGGCACACTGAGGCCAGGGCTATCCCTTCAGTGAATTCTGACAGCCCAAGAAGGAGAACCAGCCTGCCTACCACGGAGGGGAAGAGCCCCTGCAAGGGGCTTTGGTGTGTGGTTGGTCAGAACCCCGGAGTCACGTCTGAGATGGAAAGGGGTTTGATTTCAAAGCCAGATTCAGGTGATTTCTTATTTCTTGTTTATTTTGGGTCTGTGCCCAGTCGAGTTGAGCTCCACAGAACAGAGCCCTACACAAAACAGTTGTTTTTGCTCACTGCTGTGAGTCCAGTTCTCAGATCAGTGCTTGGCACATGGAAAGCGCTCAGTAGTGACCAGAAGAGAGGAAATGCAGGGGTGAAAGCAGGACTGGGGGGAAGGCGCCAGGGTAGAGCAAACGGTCATCGTAACAGAGGAGGAACTCAACCACAAGGCTCAAGGCCAACAGCCCAACGTGGAAGTTTGCTCCAGAAGCTATAAACGATCAGGCTGAGGCAGTAATGGGAAGTCCCTCTGGAGCAAGGGAGTCATGGGCCACTGGGCTCCCTGGCCTTTGTTCCGACTCTCAGGCCTCTAGGCATTTCCAACAGACCTTCTATTCAGTGTCTGGGAGTAAGGCTCTGGTTACGTCCATTTGAGCCCAGCCTTCTCAAGTGAGCCCTGGAAAGAATATATCTTCCATGGTGGTTGTAAGGATTAAACACAGTAACAGCTATAGTGTTCACAGCATAACACTTATATATGATCAGGACTCAACAAATGGTAGCCACTGTTCTTATTTTTTTTAACTTTTTAAAAATGTTTTTATTTATTTTTGAGACAGAAAGAGACAGAGCATGAGCAGGGGAGGGGCAGAGAGAGAGGGAGACACAGAATCTGAAGCAGGCTCCAGGCTCTGAACTGTCAGACAGAGCCCGACGTGGGGCTCGAACCCATGGACCGCGAGATCGTGACCTGAGCCGAAGTCGGATGCCCAACCGACTGAGCCACCCAGGCGCCCCTATTAATTATTATTAAAGTATCAAATTATACACATGGTTTATTTCTTTAAAGTTTGTTTTTAGATTTTTGACCCAAATTATTGGATGTTTATTATAAGTAGTTGTTTTGAAAAATGTAAGAGTATATTTTGGTTTAAAACAAAGAGAAGGAACAGGGCGCCTGGGTGGCTCAGTCGGTTAAGCGGCAGACTTCGGCTCAGATCATGATCTCAAGGTTTGTGAGTTCGAGCCCTGCGACGGGCCCTGTGCTGACAGCTCGGAGCCTGGAGCCTGTTTCCGATTCTGTGTCTCTCTCTCTGTCTCCCTTCTGCCTCTCTCTCTCCCCAAAATAAAATAAACATTAAATTTTGTTTTTTTAAATTTAAAGAAAAGGAAGGAACGGTGGCTAAAGGATAAACAGCGTGACATCAATCTCAGCTCAAACGTGTGCTCTGCGGAGGGAACCCTGGACGATCAAGGTGTCAACAGCGCTCTCGGCCTGGGCCCCCAGGAAGGAAGCTACACATACAATGTGGCACGCATATCTGATAGGTATGGCACTCGGGGAAAGCGGGAGTAAAAATGAAATCCCCTCCAAAAATGTATTTCATGTGAGCTATTAAACGAACTCTGTTTTTCTTCGAAAGTGGTTAATAGGAAGGTAAACTAGAAAAGACATTTGGGGACCCAACAGGGGCAAAGGAAATCTCCCTGCAGCCCTACGCCCGCCTGCTCCGGGAGACGGAGCCTTCCCCGGGGCCTGCGGGTGTGAGTTCTAGAGCCGCTGACCCGGCCAAGGCAGCGACACAAGCTGGGCTCTTTGCCGTCTCTCTCATTTTCCGGATGTGCTGAGGTTGTCTTTACGGAAGGACACACGTACAGATTTTTCTTCTTCTGTGTCATTAAAGCGCCACACTCACGCACGCTGTGTTGACGTACATTTGAACAGACATGAGCAAAGTGAAGAACTTGCTCCCAGCTACTAGGAGACTTCAGCTGTAGGTACCTCATTTCACCGAAAAGGTGCCTCAGGGGATTGCAATCATTAATGCAGAAATAGTCTCGCCGGACAAGACTGCTAGAACGGCAAATCACGACAGGATTCTGACATTGGCCCTGGCACTGTGCCTCCCTGGGGTAGGTTACTGAGAACACACTCGACCCCCGTTCTTTATACTCCTGAGAGGAACTCACACTTCACGGGAAGAAATCGCTAGTCCAAAATTGTGTTTGTTTTGCTTTTGCAAAGAAGTAGGAGAGGCATCGTCAGAAACAGACCCTAATCGGAGTCAATTCCCACAGCCCACGTCTTGCCTCCACACACCCGCTCAGGCCAGAAACCTGGTGGTTCCTTAGAGTCCCTACCTGCTCGGTCACTAGTCTCTGCACCCCTCCTGCCACCCCCTTTTCTCTGCTCCCCCCAGTTCGAGTTTTCATCATCTCCGGATTACTTCCTGTCTTGTTCTCAGAGCTGTCACACGGCCCACATCCGAGGGGCACATTTATACTGACCTCAGAGTGCACGGTGTCCCTTGGAGCTGGCAATAAGGCGGCTCGGCCCCCTGAGACACCTTTGAACACGCAAATCTGGTCAACTTGTTCCATTTCTCACAATCTTAGAAATGAATCCCGATGACGCCGTTGAACACGAGAATGGCAGCAGGTACACCCATGTGCTAGGCATGGTGCCAACGAAATCTTTCGCATTTCTCAACTTGGCTAGTTCTCACAACAACTCAGTCGTCCCCATTTTACAGATGAGGAAGTGAAGTTCAGAGGTATGGAATGACTTGCCCCGGGTCACGCAGTTTTAAGTCTCCTTTTCTCTACGCGGTGGTGCACAGCAGGGCGGAAGAGAGCTTGGCTACAGGGCATGGCGTGAGTTATTTCGTGGAAAGTGGCATTTCGTGAGGTCTCAGTACGTTATCTAGTGTGGCTATCATCATGGGTACGTCTGGATGCCGTTAGGCTGTATGGAAAGCAGGTGGCTCGCACCAGCCTCTTCACAGTATGGTGCCTGCCTGCCTCTCATTCCAGCTCTGTCTCTGACCACAGACCCTCTTGAGCCCTGGCTGTTGGCCCAAAGGACACTGCTGATGCAGCCCTATTTGTCCGCCTACCTGACTCCCTTTTCTGGAATGCTTTTTTCTTCTTTAACAGGTAAACACTATTCGTCTATCACATTTTGCCTGATCCCTCCACACTGAGACAAGCACTTGGTTGCCCCAGAGCCTACAGCCTGTCCTCTATTATTTCACCAGATCTCTGACACGATCTGTTTCTGTTTGAGTCTGCCTGCTGCGGCGTGTAGTCCGGGATCTACTCACCGCAACCTGGAACCTGACCCGGCATCTAGTAGAAATTCAAGCACGCTTGCAGAACTGGATTGGATTGGGGTGGGGTTGGCTCAGTTTATAAACAGACATATGTCAAGAATTCATCCTGCCTTTCTGTGGTGCACTGACTTAGGAGCATCTTATTATTAATTATCTCCTACAGGCAATGGAAGAAAGGACATTTGGCCCGGAACCCCAGTTTGGGTGCCCGACAATAGGAAATTGGAAATACTGTCCTGCTGATGACAACAGCATAAACCTTGAAAATGCACTTTTAATAAAGGGTGGCTAGAATGCCAATTTAGCACATAACTGGTGCGTTCAGACAGAACCTAGTAAGAGGAAAGGAAATTTACTTTCTAAGGATTAAGTCTCCTACCCAGCTGTAATTTAGGCTTTAAGGCTCCTCACATGGTATAAACATCCCTCTATTAATTGGAAACATTGCTGGTTAACATATACATCTCAATTTCAAAGTGTTTTATATTCTGTACTACACTTGGAAAATATTTTCCAACGGGCATGTGGCTAACCTCTCATATGACTTCAGGATCAGTGCTTGGTAGAATTTATTAAAAGATAAATTCAAGTGAACTTGTCTTTTCAAAGGGAACAGGAAGGTCACTGCTGGAAAAAGACCAAGCTCCCTCTTTTATGGAGGAGAAAACCAAGGCCCAGAAGGTTAGGTGACTTCCCAAAATCACACAGCCTTCAGGCGGAGGCAGCATCATGTGGGAAGGTCCTGAGTCAGAGAACCTGGAGTGGGTGTGGGGTGAGGCAGAATGGATGGCCAGGGACTGGGGGGCCATCTGAAGGGGTTTGGATTGCATTTCACATTCAATGGGCAGCAGTTGAAGGGTTTCATGCAGGGAAATGCTGGCATCTGACCCGTGTTTTCTAATATAAAGACCAAACTTCTGCTGGAAGGATAAAGACCAGCTGCTGGAGGCTTTTACTGTGATGCAGCTGTGAGATGATAGGGACCCAGGTGAAGGTGTGACAGTGGACTTGGAAAGAAGAGAATGAGGATGAAATATATTTTAGAATCGGGGATGAAATATACTTTGGAATCGGAATCAAGAGGACTTGTGGGCGGTAAGGAAGGAGGGATCAAGGGTGACTGTTATGTTTGTGGCTTGGATGGAGGGGGTACTCTATATGAGATGGGCAGGTATACGAACAGGGAACCAAGAATTCAGTTTTGAACATGTAGTAAAGTCAGGCTTGAAATGGAAACAGCGTAATAGATGTGAAATGCACAGTGTTGGCACAGAGTAAGCGTGGTGGCCTTGATAGTGTTGTTTTTATCACTGGCATTTTCAGTACCACGCCAATGGGGTTACTAAGGCCAAGGAGAAAAGAGATTTATATTGTGTACTCTGGTGTAGTTCGTACACAGGCTAGTTGTGTAGTGAGTGACACACACACTTATTGGTAAATCGATGTGAGTGTCATGAATGTTCGGTATAAATTGGCACTCGTAGAAACGACATTGATTTTGGTGACTCTCCTATAGGACAAGTCTGAGACCCGCTTTGAGTTAGAGCTGTTAATGGTGATCTGAAGCTTGTACAGAATTTGTTGCTGAGTTTCTCCACTCCTCCAAAGTAAAGAGCTTCAACTTATAATAAACATCAGTACAACTACTGGTATTCACGTTTGATATTGCTTATTGTTTGGATGTTCTTTATCCATTCTCTAAAAACGGATACATTTGCAACATAGTTCAAAAATGTCTTTCGTTGTCAGGAGAAACTTGACATCATTTTAAGAGAAGACGTCTTTATTTTGTTTTCCAGGATCTTGATTTTTGGCCAGGTCTGTGCTCCGACACTCCTCTACTGCTCCCTACTGGTCAACATTATTCAGCAGCTGGCTAACTGCACACATAGCAATCCACTGGGGCACAAGTAGCAACCTTTACTCTCTGCGCTTCATCCCAATTTATTTTAGAGAGATTTATATGACAGAAATAGTCAAAATAATGATCCATGTGGAGCAACGAATGTTTTTTAGACAATCCGTTTTCAAGGATTTCCATTGGGCACTATTTATCATCGTTACTCCCTCTCCTCTCTTAAAGAAGGTATTTTTATTGACTTACAGTGTGAACTACTTGATTCCTTGCTTTATTATAAAGGCTTTCGAGAATGTTACGGTTCAACCTACACAAGGTATTGTTTTAATGCCTTTAACATAAGTCCTGGATGCTTGCCAGGTAAAAGTCTACGAAAGTTCACAAGTGAAGGGGGAAAAAGGGAATGACAACTCTGCCTAGCCAGTTAAGGGCACCAGATCCCATAAAACTAAATTCAAATGTTCAATATATGCACTTGTCATTTTCAATGCCTATAAAATTGGCTTCAGAGGTAGATGCAACTAAGATCACAGTACCGCAGAGATTTGCAAAAAGTAATACTTATGACTCTTCTTCTGTGTGAAATATCTTAAATGGAGAAAAGCCCCATTTTAAAGCAGCCAAAATAACTTTACAACAATAGTTGTGTGCATGTGTGCACAAAGGTTTAAAAGAGATGTATTTAGGGGTGCCTGGGTGGCGCAGTCGGTTAAGCGTCCGACTTCAGCCAGGTCACGATCTCGCGGTCCGTGAGTTCGAGCCCCGCGTCGGGCTCTGGGCTGAATGCTCAGGGCCTGGAGCCTGTTTCCGATTCTGTGTCTCCCTCTCTCTCTGCCCCTTCCCCGTTCATGCTCTGTCTCTCTCTGTCCCAAAAAATAAATAAAAAACGTTGAAGAAAAATAAATAAAAGAGATGTATTTAGTTTAGGAGACTTACCTCACGTACCAAGATCTATATTAAATGACCTACATTTTCTTTCTTTTTTTTTTTTAAGTTTATTGATTTTTGACAGAGACAGAGTGCGAGCATGAGCTGGGGAGGGGCAGAAAGCGAGGGAGACACAGAATCCGAAGCAGGCTCCAGGCTTCAAGCTGTCAGCACAGAACCTGACGCAGGGCTCGAACTCATGATCTGTGAGATCATGACCTGGACTGAAGTCGGACGCTTAACCGACCGAGCCACCCAGGCGCCCCAAATGACCTACCTTTTCTAAACAACTGCTATTTGTCTTTCTTGTCAGAATAAAGTGGCTTGTAAAGCGTCTGTTCTCAGTTCCAGAAACTGAGGGCTCCTTTCAATAATTCGTCACTTGTAATTTATAAACTAACCTGCTTAAGACCTTGAAACCCATCTATATCGTGAAAAAGGTGACCTCCGCTGGGAAAATTCAAGACGAATGGGAGTCACCAACCCTCTCCTGTTCTCTGGTTTGGTTCCATCACTTGGAACATGGAAAAAGCAATATTCAGATTTGCTTCAGGAGGGAACCCAGTAGCCTAGCCTGCTACTAAATAGACACTCATTAAAATTGATACTCCATCTGATCTCACCTATCCTGGAGAATTTAGGCTGTTTCTTTGGACATCTGCTTTCCTAAGATAAAGTCTCTCTCCAAATATGGACTCCACCTAGCGTTGTGACTGCATAAATAGGGTTATTAGCTCACCCTTTTTTTTGCAAAGCATCTGAAGTGCCTCGCGTGCGTGAAGAAGGGGCACCAGGGACCTACTCAAAGCATGTCTTAGGCCTACTCATTGTTGCCTCTGCCAGGTCCCCAAACAGGAAGCCAGTGAAATACACTGTAAATATGACCCCGGTTGGTGAGTTACTTCAAAGGCGTTTTTTTTTTTTTTTTTTTTTTTTGTAAAACTGAGCGGCACAGGCTGTGTGGAATATACCATATTCATACTGAAAACAAAATGAGGAAACGTGCATAAAATTAAAATCACGACATGGCCAGTTGAAGAATTTGAGTGTTGGCTTGCTGCTAAGAGCACATTTTTGTGCTGCTTTATAAAATGATGACCTCAACACTGCCACAAAGCCACTATTGTCAAGGGTGCGCTGCGAACACTGCTAGGAGGATCCAACCTGCTTTTAATTCTTTATCAGGGAAACAAAAGAGCCACAAGGTGATTGTCACTGGAATCCAATGCTTTCCGATGGGATCAGACTCATAAAAGAGCTTACAGAGGTTTAAGTTGCTCTGAAATCAAGGTCCTTTGGGGGCACAGATGAACTCGAAGTTACCATCATGCGATAGAATGAATAGGAAATGGCTTATAAACTCTAAATGCTAAACAGGTCTAAATAGTTCTTGTTGTTGAATCATCAGTGACAAACTCTTAGGTCAGCAGAGGCTTAAAATTATCTAGCATTTGATACAGAGAGAGAGAGAAGCACAGAGAACCATATGCAATGTGTAACCTCGGGTTCCACGTACTGAATTTTTTTTTACATTTATTTATTTTTTGAGAGACATAGAGAGACAGAGCATAAGTTGGGGAGGGGCAGAGAGAGGAGGAGACACAGAATCCAAAGCAGGCTCCAGGCTCCGAGCCGTCAGTCCAGAGCCCGATGCAGGGCTCGAACTCACAAACCGTGAGATCATGACCCGAGCCGAAGTCGGACGCTCAACCTACTGAGCCACCCAGGCGCCCCTCAAGTACTGAATTTTGAGTCCTCTTGTCCTCATGCACTGTCTTGGGCTTTCCAAAATCACTGTAATGAAATGCAGCTGGGTTTTGTACTCCTCCCAAAAATGCAGAAGATGGGAAAAGGGATTTTGCTTACTTGCCTACATCATTTATAAGCTAACGTGTGAATGAACTATCAAACCTTCTGAAACTTATTAAGGTGAATTCTGTCGCCAGAAACACATTTTATAGCTTTTTAAAAAAGCCATGGGGAATTTTCAGCAGGACGTGAGTATTTAAAAACACAACTCATTCCGTTAATTGGGAGCCATACAGTTAAGCCTCAGACAATTTAAGTTTTAAAATTTCTCTTGGGGCTTTAGGGGTATCGATTATAAAATGCTTATTCAATGTTGTTCGGCTGTGTGACTGCTCCCTGGCATTAGGGGTGATCCCTGCTCTTCTCCAATGCAGCTCTGAGGCTGGACATAATACCCAGCATGTGTTTGTGATAATATAGGAACGTATTCAGCATCTTTCCGAGCACAGTTTTAGGACCTTTCTCCTACAGCAAAGTTGTTTTAGTTATTTACAATAAATATTGATTTCATTTGGCACGATGCTTAGCTCCATATTTTATTAATTAGCTTTATGTTTCATCCTAAATACTAAAATAGAAGTCTTTCAAGTTACCGAGGATCCCAAATGCATTTATAAGGAAATGCTAATATGGTCTTTGTGACTTTGGGAATTTGGGTGTTGATAAATTTGAGGGTGTTTTGGAGTGGTGTCTAATGCCTTATACAAAACCGTGGCAGTTTTCTTCTATTAAGAAATCACATCCCCCAAGGTGTCTGAAAAACTTCCTTTAGAAGATTTCAAAACGCCAGATGTAAATATTTTTGCACTAAAACAATAATTCAGGGGGCGCCTGGGTGGCTCAGTCAGTTAAGCGTCTGACTTGATTTCGGCTTAGGTCATGATCTCACAGTCATGAGATCGAGGTCCACATCAGACTCGACACTCTGCGTGAAGCCTGCTGGGGATTCTCTCTCTCCTCCTCTCTCTCTCTGCCTCTCCCCTGCTTGCTGCCTCTCTCTCCCTCTCAAAATAAATAAATAAATAAATATTTTAAAAATTAAAAACATAAAACAATAATTCAGGAACACAAACATCAAATGACTTTTTTTTTTTTTTAGAAGACTTTATGATTTTAGAAGACCCACATATCTGATCGAAATTCTATGTCAGAGTCAGCAGAGTTAATGTTGAGTTAGGTTGAAAAACTTTTTCGGAGCTTTTGGGTGGTTAGTTGGTTAAGCATCTGACTTCAGCTCAGATCATGATCTCACCGTTCGTGAGTTCGAGCCCCGCGTCAGGCTCTGCGCTGACAGCTCAGAGCCTGAAGCCTGCTTTGGATTCGGTGTCTCCCTCTTTCTCTGCCCCTTCCCTGCTCACGCTCTGTCTCTCACTCTCTCAAAAATAAATAAAAAACATTAAAAAAAAATTCTCTCCGAATATTCAACAGATAATACCTTGCAAATCCAGAGTGTTCACCCGTTCTAGAACAAAGCCCTAAACACATCTGGGAATTTCCAGTCAGACCAGAAGAACACCAGAGGGAGTGGGCTCTGGCTGGGAGTTTTAAAAATGCTGAAGCAACTGCCAAGAAATAATCTCTCCTTAGACACTGAGTGGGCAGAAGTGGTGTATGACTCCTCTCGATGCCCTGCTTTAGCTCTTGTCCCTGCCTGACATCAGGGGAGGGGCATGGGCAAGATGGCTGCCTCCCGTGGATTTGGCAGGAGTCTGGGACTGGAGGCTGAACCTAACCTCTTCCCTCCAGAGCTGACCCGCTTTGCATCCTGGAGGAGAGGTCACTTTTCCCGTCCTTCTCCTTTCCCTGGGCAATTTAGAGGGGAGAAACTGTAAAGTTTTCTTGAAGTTGCTGATCACATGTAAGGTTCGTAAACTTCTCATACCTTCCACTTTGTGTATCGAGGGGAGGACCAATGATTAGGATCTAATTGCGCCATTTGGTGGCTAATAACTTGATGGCTCCATTTCAAGCACGAGTCTGAGTCTGTGGTAAGAGTTAGTGAGTATTCTCTCAGCTCTGTTGGGCACCGGGTACTGCAGGGAACGTAAGAGTGAGCAAGTCGATGCCGCTCACCTCCAGAAGCTTAGGGTCTGGTTGTGGGGTTACACAGGCACCTGATCTAAGTTTCACAATTTCTCAACTACAAGGTGAAATTCAGTAGTAGTGGTGAGAGGTTAAGAAAAGTCTGAACCAAATGAAATTGCCAACATTTGAACATTTTAAAAATGTATAGAATTGCAATTTCATATTACTTGGCTTAGTACTTGGTGAGAATTTAGAGCTTGAGACATAATGCTTTGTGACTTAGTTGCAAACTCACAACAGTTTGAAATGATTTTAAAATGAACAGTTGTTATCACTCCATTTCTCCCTTCACTGTATTGTGATTTGTTTTTCTAAAATACAGATGAGTGAACTCATTTTCAATGGCCCTCTCTTTCTTCACAAGTGTTTTCCTCTTCAAAACAACACTCTTCTTTGGGGCGCCTGGGTGGCTCAGTCGGTTGAGCGACTGACTTTGGCTCAGGTCATGATCTCACAGTTTGTGAGTTCGAGCCCCGCATCGGGCTCTGTGCTGATTGCTCGGAGCCCGGAGCCTGCTTCGGATTCTGTGTTTCTCTCTCTCTCTGTCCCTCCCCTTCTTGCGTTCTGTCTCTCTCTCTCAAACATAAATTTAACATTTAAACATTTATTAAAAAAAATAAATAAAAAAATAAAGAGAGCTCATGGAGAAGCGAGCCATCCCATCTGAGAAGGGGAACCCATCACATCGGGGACTGGCAATCTGCCAAGTGTCATCAGAGCCTCCTGTAAATTGTAATAAGTGATAAGTTCTGCACTGAAGTGACTCCAAGCAGTAGTATTTCTGCTCGGATTTACTTACCTCCACCTTTTCATTTACTTGAATGATCCCTCATGGTTTTTATGCTGCTAACTGAGAAGGTGATGGCACGCAACTACCTGTTTTTACCAAAATGAAAAATAAGCACCACGGTGCAATCCCCGCTCATCAAACTGACCGACTGGAGTAGCTAGGACAGAAGAAACTGCAGACAGGAGTCACCGGTGATGTGGGTGTCTCCGCAGACCCCACCATCGTGCGTATAAGAGAACAAGCAGGTTGAGACATCTGCCACGAGCAGACAGTGTCACGCTGGCTCACACAGTGTCAGGAAGGTAAGGGACTTTCCTCCCCCTCGCTCCTCTCCTGTCGCTCTGAACTCAAACCTTGCAAAGGGTGGAAACTGCAGTTTATCTAAGTTCTGGGAGGAGGAGGAGGAGGAAGAGGAGGAGGAGGAGGAGGAGGAGAAGAAGGAGGAGGAGGAGGAGAAGGAGGAGGAGACGGAGGAGGAGGAGGAGGAGGAGGAGGAGGAGGAGGAGGAGGAGAAACCTCCCAGGAGGGAAGAGAGAGAGCCAGTCACACATCCCTTCTTCAGCTGCAGCAGACAGACGCTGGGAGAGAGAGAATTGCCTTACTGTTCATTCAAGCTTGAAGGTGCGCCCTATTACATGGGGTTGGGCATACCAATTACTAAGTTCCGACTGTATTTTTCTTCTTTTTTTAAAAAAAAATTTTAATGTTTATTTATTTTTGAGACAGAGAGAGACGGAACATGAACAGGGGAGGGGCAGAGAGAGGGGGAGACACAGAATCGGAAGCAGGCTCCAGGCTCTGAGCTGGCAGCACAGAGCCCAGTGCGGGGCTGGAACTCACTGACCACGAGATCATGACCTGAGCTGAAGTGGGTCCTTAACCAACTGAGCCACCCAGGCGCCCGAAGACTGTATTTCTCAAGGGTGACCAGAAAAGTTATGAACTCGCCCAAAGATTCACCCAGGGATAGGGCAAGAACCAAACCCCTATTGAATAAAGTAACGCTGAGACACAAAATGGGTTGCTTTTTGATTGGACTTGATGAGCCACGTTTATCCAACATGCTAGTTCCAAACATAATATAGAAGGCCTGTGTGTCCTGGGGCTCTAGAAAGGACTTAAGTTCAGCCGTCAAGTCCAGGAGGGTGTGGCTGCTGCTAATTCTCAGGTTTTTTAACATCAAAACCCCAGGCTTCTATCTGTGTAACGCTGTTTTTTACAGTGTGGTTCCCACTTATCTCATTACCTTCAAGTACAAATCAAAATAACTTCTGAGGGATGCCGGGCCCCCATTTTACTAGCAGCTCATGAAGTCTATGGCGGGCTTTATTCCATTTCTGTACTTATTTCCATTTAGGCACAGTGACCCAGAGGCAGCAGAGGAATACATTTCCCTTCATCATATAATAAGTTGACGCCAGCATACTTTTTCGTGTGACTTTCTCTTCCTCAATTTAATCTTCCACCCTACTTCCCCTACCTTTTTTGCTAATGCAATGATACTTTTTCTTAGCTATAAAGATGCATATTACTATTTTCTCTTGCATGAAAATAATAGCTAAAATTTACAAGCCATCTACTTGTTCCAAATGCTTTATATATTTTATCTCTAATAGTTATAATAACCTTGGGGGGGGGGAAGTAGCAGGACCCGCATTTTGTAGAAGGAGGAAATGGAATCTCGGAGAGGTCAAGTTAGTTGCTCCCTAGTTTATAAAGTCTGGGCATCAGGGAGCCCAGACTCTCACCTGAGCGTGTCCGATCCCTTGGTCCATTTGCTTCTGAAGGCTGGACAGAGTGAGCGATCACTGTAAGAATGGGCCAGGAAACTAGTTCTGCAAGGGACTTAGGGATTATTTGGATTGAATGATTATTAATTAAATAATTTTTTTTAAATTTTTTTTAACGTTTTGTTTATTTTTGAGACAGAGAGAGACAGAGCATGAATGGGGGAGGGGCAGAGAGAGAGGGAGACACAGAATCGGAAGCAGGCTCCAGGCTCTGAGCCATCAGCCCAGAGCCTGACGCGGGGCTCGAACTCACGGACCGCGAGATCGTGACCTGGCTGAAGTCGGACGCTTAACCGACTGAGCCACCCAGGCGCCCCATAAATAATTTAAAATTACTTGGGATTATTTTGGATTAAAGTAAGCCCTTTCATCTTTTTTGGTGGAATAAAAACCACACTACCTCCCTCTATTTATCTTAAAGGATTATGATATGAGATGGATATGCCATTATTGATCAAGCATTCTAAGGATAGGCGACGGAAATCTTAGTTTTAGTATCAGTAGGACTTCTGTTTTGTCTTCATCCATACTATCATTTCCTTGATGCTTTTCTTATCATCATATCATATTATGATTTCTGTACTTGAAGTGCTATAACTTAGGAGTTCAACTCTGATAAAGACACTCTAAGTTTCCCTTGTGTGTCCATTTCAACTATAATGCAAAAAACAAAAACAAAAACAAAACCAAAAAGATGTGGGAGGGGATAAAACCGCCACGGAATGTTCACAGTAGTGACCTCAGAGAAGCTCAGTAACCTCTATCAGGCAAAACTTTTGCTCCTTTGTTTAAACAAAATAATCATAATCTAATGTATGTTTTCCATTTCTGCACTGAATTATATTCAGCCTGAGTTTCTTTTTCCATTTCTTTTATTCTGCCTTCTTCCCAACCTGCCTCGTGCATTTTGTTTATTCAAACTTCATCCTTTCCTGTTGGTTGACAATGATCTCTCCTTCCCTGTATGTTCCTGTCCCCTCACCTCCCGGCACCCCCTTCCTGCCCTCTCTGCTCTCATGTGTCCAGGCCAGTTGTTCACCTCCCTGTACGTTTCCCTCCTCTGACTCTCCTCCTCTGTCTTCACTGTTAACATTCTGGCATCACCTCCCTTGCCTCCCTCCTGCGCATCCTTCATGCCTCTTTCAATGGTTCCTCATTATGCTGTATTTATAAATAGCCTCCAAGCAATCTATCATTTATCCCAACGCTCTCAGATAATCTCTTGACACAGCTCGCAGACAGTAGTTAGCTGCAGCAGGAAAATTTACCATGCTCATTTATTATCCTCTTAGAAGGAGTGCTGAAGCAGGGGTCACAACTGAAAGAAACATCTTACCTATTCAGCAGCTCCTGAAAAAGGAACTGGCAACAGTTAATAAGAGAGCTGTCTCCTTATGTCTAAGAATGACCACAAATATGTTCAAGAGACAAAGCCGCTGCTAAGACAAGGCACTGAATGATAGTGACCCCTGTAAGGCCAGTGTGTTGTGTTAGCCCCGTGTTACCTTCGCAATCAATAACGACTTGCTTTTGTGCACCTCCAAGGTGCCAGCCTCGTTTTAGTGACTTAAAGTGAACTAATTCAGGGCTCTTCATGCAGTTGTGAGGTTTGTGCACTGCCTTAGGGGTCCGGCAGAGGGGTGAGCTGAGGCTGTTGGTCAAACCATAGGTGGAGACTCTCATTGTTCCATTTTTCAGATGAAGAAAATGAGGCTCAGATGAGTTAAGCAACTTGCCCAAGTGGAAGAACCATGTAAATTTGACAAACATGTAATCTACCACTTGAAGACTATTCCTTTACTAAACTGTAAGCAAACTGAGGGCAGGTGCTGTGTCTACCTTGCTTATCCTTGGAGAAGTACCCTTTTGAGAATGAATGAAAACATAGAGGGTGCAAATCATGAAGCACCCAAAGGATTGGTTTTTCCAACAAAGGAGACATACAGGGATCTAGAAGAAAAAGCCCACTGTTTTAATTCTTAAGCGTTATTTCTTCCTTCACTTCCATCAGAACAGGGCTGAGGTGGTGGCAAGAGTGTGTTAGAGCCTGGGCACACACACCTGACATTGTGGGGCAGACGTGTGTGTGGGGAAGCAATGCAAGGCAGGCCCCTGGTGTGCAGAATCGGGACATCATACTGATTAGGGTAGAGAATGGGCTGGAGGAAGGAGGGAGGTTCAGTAAGGAGTGTTGGGGGGTATCTTGGGAGGACCGAGTTGATCTGGCCTGCTTGTTTATAGGCAACACTGGGGGTTCAGGAGGTTGACGGCTGATGTCCAGCGTGCATGGGAGATGTAAGTTAATAACAATGGCAACCATGCATTAAATACTTCTGTGTCAGGCAGGTCCTGAGTGTTATAGACTTGTCTCATTTCATCCTTACCAAACCTCTGGGGTTGGTCCTATGATCCCTCCCATTTCAAAGGAAGCAAACTGAAGCGAAGTGAGTGGTCAGGGTTTTAAGGATAGTAAAAGGCAGACTCTAGATTCAGTCCCAGATCTGCTGATTCCAAAATTCACATGCTTGCCCTTCTACCTTAGGAGGAGAGATTGCAGCTCAAGGGAAGATCCTTGGGAATCAGGGTTCAGAGGGAGAAGAAGAGAACTAGGGAGAAGATGGAAGCCTTCCAAGCCTGCAGGGTGAGGACATGCACACCGGTTTTTGAGGAAGAGCTCAGCTTGGGCGAATAACACTGGCACGGAGACAGAACTTTGGTTGAGGTCGGGCAAAAGGACTTGATCGTGGGAGACAGATTGAGAGCCTGCTAACCACCGCCCCACATCAGAACAGAACCGGCCTCAAGGTGACTTTGCAATGCTCCACCCAACTGCCCTGTGAAGGAAGCACCTTTAATTCTCTCTGGTTCCAGAGCCTGGGGTGGTGTTGTAGCTGTGGAAATGCGCGTCTTGTGCAGGCAGGACATTTAATGCTGGCATTAAGATGTTGAGTTCAGATTGTTCTATCTGCCAATACGTGACCCGGAGCTATCTTAAATCCTTTTGGAATGAGGTAGGGTACACACTCAAAAAATGTACATGTCTGTACAAGTGGATACATTTCTCCAAGCAGCCTTAACAAATGTGTGTGTTTTTTTTCTTTAATCAGATCTTTTATTTACATATTGCAACTAAATCATCAAAAGACTTTCAGTGGCTTGCTGGGATGCACGTCTGAAAGCAGCTTGATGCTTTGGCTTTATGTATGTTTATCGGCTCTGTGTAATTTTTTACATATGCTGTCTCTCTCCTCAAAATGACTGCTTCAAGAAAACTGAAAGAACAGTGACAGTGGCGAGGGGCTGGAACATACGGGTTGTTTGGTGGAAACAAAATGCCATTTTTTTTTTAAAGTTTATTTATTTTTGAGACAGAGAGAGACAGAGCATGAACAGGGGAGGGTCAGAGAGAGAGGAAGACACAGAATCTGAAACAGGCTCCAGGCTCTGAGCTGTCGGCACAGAGCCCGATGCGGGGCTCGAACTCACGGACCACAAGATCATGACCTGAGCCGAAGTCGGACGCTTAACCAACTGAGCCACCCAGGTGCCCCAACAAAACGCCATTTTTAACGAAGACGGGTACCTTCCCACCCCCACCCCCCCGACGCTGAAATTATCACGGGCTGCTTTGTACCTGACAGAAAAAGAGCTGTACTCTCAGAAAAGGAGCTGGGGACAGAAGGAAGCATGGAAAACACGTGGGCTTATCAAAAAAGATGAGTAGTGGCCCAACGTGGGTCTGCTGGGAGTGCCACGGCGAGGGAGCTGGGGTAGAGACGTGCCTGTCTGGCACCCCCGTCCGTCCCCCTGTCCCAAGGCTGGCCTGGCCTGGGACAGCTGGGTTTGGCACCCTCAGGCGGGTGACTGCCCTGAATGGTTGGGAGGGAGGCGACAAGAACCGCAAGGGCCGCGGATCACAGCAGGATGTACCAGAGAGCCCAGGTGTTCTGGGCACACTGTGGGTGGACTGTGTCCAGACTCCGAGAATGCCGACTTTTCCTTCACATCGCCTTGCTACTTTACTGCTCCGCAAAGCCCCAGCATTTTGCCATTATCTTACACTGCCTTTGGCCGCCCTGAAATGATGGAGGGGACATGGAGAGAACAGGGGACTTGGAGCCAGAGAACTGGGTTCTACATCTGGCTCTGCTAGTACTGCCCTCGGACGAGGTGATTAAACTCTCCGGCAACAGCGTCTTTATCCGTCAAAGGTAGAGGCTGGGCCGCAAGGCCCCGTGTTCAGTGAGGAACTTAAGAGATGATGTGGCCTACGGACACAGGGGCGGGTCTGGAGAGCCGGGTAGGCACGCATCAGCCGTGGGAACCTCAGGTGGTGGGAACCGTGCGCTGTCTCCCCCGCTCGCCCCTCCTCCACCCCAGGGTCCTCATTCACATGCTGCTGCCCGGTTCCATCCCTGTCTGCCTGCAAGCTTCCGCAGAGCCCGGGAAGTCGACGTCCTCTCTGCCCTCACTGTTGACAATGCAAAGGCATTCCCCTCATCAATGCTAGCAAAGAATGAGAGATGCCGCATAATATCAGGAAGCATATTTATCGCTGTCGTCGACGTTGTAAAAAACTTTCCAAAGGTCCACTGTGTTAATGATCCCACCCACATCTGTTGCTGGAGAAGAAGTTAACGTACTCTCCAATGACACCTATTGTAAGAGAGGAAGCAAACTGATGCCACAGAGTGACTACTGTGTTTGCTGGGTCTCCTTTCTAGATGCTGTTGGAGCAGCGCGTGATTGGCATGATGCCTGATCTCAGTAAAATGGGGAGAGAAATAAAGTTCATCAATAATCCCAGAACCTTTCTTCTCCTTCAGCCTTTCCCAAGAAACCTTTGTGGAAAGGGCTAAGCACTGCCCGCGTTGAGGGACTGACCCCTCTCTTGACTCAGTCTCCAAGGAAGGGGCGAGGAGAGCGTCCCAGAGGGGAGAGATGGGGGGAGGCCCGTGTTGGACAAACTCAAAGCCTGAAGTAGAGAGGGCAGACAGAAGTGGATGACCGCGGGAGTCCCTGTGCATTCCACTGCTGACTCGTCTCCCACACGTACCGCCGGAGGTCACCCCACCCCCATGCTTGAGGGCTCAGCAGCCGGGACAGTGGATGTCCCTGTGGATGGCTGTAGAGACTTAGCTGGGGTCTCTCTCCACCCCAGATCTGGCCAAAGTGGCGCTCTGATCCTATTTAGCCACCGCTCTGTGACTACGTGACATTAAACAGAAGACTGAGGTCTGCCTTTAGAGCCACTTTGTTCCCCAGTCTCTGGTTAAAAGACATTAAGTCTCAAATAAAAGTCGCTCCGGACTGCGGAAGGGCTTGTTCACACATTCACAGCTCTGAGTCGGACCAGGCTTATTACTTGAATTTTTAAATGCCAAAGAGACAGAGGGGCCCACAGGGTCGCGCTGGCATTCCAAGTCTCTTTGGCCATTAGGACCCGCTGTCTCCTGGAGCTGGAACAAAAAGCTCTCGGAGACCTGGTGCCCGGATGATCACAGAGCAACGATAAAAGCCCCCCAGCTGGAGCCTCCTTCCCGTTTCCTGTGCGGCCCATACTGGAAACACATTGGAGCTATTTTCCCTTTTAAAGACGCTGTTTTACGTTTCGTCTTTCAAGATGTCCTTGTTTCTGCATCACAGCATCTTCGCATACCAACTCAATGTGTTTTATGTCCATCTGTAGAGAGCTCTCCTCCCTTCCCCTTCTAAGGAGTAAAAGGGGAGATGCGGGCTCAGGGGATAAAGCAGCTTCAGGAGTGCATGGGGTTTGGGGAGAACAGAATGAAACTCTGGCTAATTTGGCCCATCCCATCTCAGAAAACCAGAACCCTATGAATTATTTACGATTCTCCTGACCCCACGGAAATGCAGATTGTGGTTCTTGCCAAGGACAAATTAGGCTTGTCTGCATCTGTTACTGTTCTCAATCAAGCGACTGCCTCCTGTGAGGAAGGAGAGAGGTCAGCAGCCAGGACAAAGGATCAGTCCAAGAGAAGGGGGAGATAAGGCTGCATTCCAGAGCTTCTACTGGAAAAGCTGCTCATTGGAAGCACAATCAGATCTTTTTTCAAAATCCAGAACAAGCACCGGGTTGCATTTGTGTGTCTAAAAAAATCAGAATAGCAGTGCCATTGGGGACCTTTCAAATGTTTAACTTTTATCTTGCTTCGGGGGGTATGCATAACTTCAGGGCAAGTATTGACTAGTTTTGGCTCAGGGGACCGTGACCTTCTTTCCCCAAAGCGAGGACCTCTCTGTGCTGCAGCACTGGAGACTGTTAGGATTGTATCCCTCTGAGCCGGCTCTGCAACTTTTCCCTGTACCCTTGCCTGTACATAGCAGGTTGTTATCGTTGGCTCCAAATGAGCTTTGGAAGAGAGCTCCAGGCTCCCCTCCTCCCACTCGACCCCCAGGACAGGGGCCCCCTGGAGCGGGATCAAGGAATGAAAGAGCTTTGGGAGAACACGGGTGGGCCCTGGTGGTAGGGGCATTTGGAACTTTCCACGGCAGGAATAAAAAGACAAAAAGCCTTTTGTGGGATGTTCTCTGGTCTTTCCCAGGAGCAGGTGTGGAGAGAAGCCTCCTGCTTACGTGGGGCCCCACTCTGGAGCAGAACCAGGAGGAGGAGGGGGTCTGGAGGAGACCATGCATGCGAGTGCCCTGTAGCCTTCAGAGAAAGGCTGTCTGACGTCCCTGCCATCACTTTTTCAATTTTCTACGTGCTAAAACGTAGAAAAGGCCAAGCCCAGCGTTTTGGCCTGGGGAAAAGAGGCCCCTTTCTTGGGAAATAGGCCTTAAGCAGAAAGAGACTCAGAGAGATTCCTGTATGGTGTAACTGGGTCACCAGTGTAGATGGTCAGATAAGAAATTGCGGCCAAAGCCCAACTATTTCGGGAAGAGAATGCCTTTGCCTACAGGATCTCCTAAGCCTCGATCCCTGGCAGCTCTTGGATTCTGAGATCTTGGATGCTGGTAAATTCTCTTGTCAAGAGAGACACAATTAAAGGTTCAGATGATATCTTGGTCTGCTAATGAAGAACAATAGTAAATAATGTTATTTTCCCTATATTCTTCCTTATTAGACGATCGAATCCTTTCAAACACTCGGTAGAACATTGGTATAAATCCAAGGGACTTTTGAGTGGGTGAAACTCAGTTTCTTCATTTTGGAGATAAATGAGTTTAGGATCCAGAGAGATTATCTAACCAGGTCACATTGTTAGTTAGTAGTGAAACTGAGACTAATGTGCAGAGAAACCTATGGTTATTAGCAAGGGCTGGGGTCATCAACAAGCATTTGACACCGAAGAGGTAAAGTCTTAGCAATCATTCATCAGATATTTAGCCAGGGCCTCCTACGTACCAGGCACTGTGGGGCTGCAGTGCCGAGTAAGACAGACATGGCCTCTGACCTCCCAAGAGATGTTACCAAACAACGGGAAATGGCAGCAAGGCTGGCTGTATTTCCAGAAGGAATCAATTTATCTGCAGGGTGTCCCTCTGAGCACTTCACATCACAAGAAAGTTGTAGCCACTGGGCTGAGGTCACACTCAGCTATTGGAGTCTCCAAGTGGTAAGAGATTAAATCCCTCTTGTTCATTCTCAAATGTGTAGTCTCGTATTCATGAAGAAGGAAAAGGAGTATTAATTTCAGAAGAGCTAACTCGGCTTTCCTGGTGCCTACCACTCCATCTTCAGCCAAGGGGATAACCGTAGATGAGAGCCACGCTTCTCCATCAACAGGAATTCCTTTCTGGCGGGATCCCACAAAAAGAAGACAGATGCTCGGCCACCACTGACGTGGACAGAGTCACAAATGTGCCATGCATTTTGACTCTGCAATAGCTGAAAATGTACATGTTTTAAAATTCTATTTGAAATGTCTTTGAATAATAGTAGCGGTAATAATAATAAAAAGAATCATAATGATATACAATGTGATTAAAGACTGTTTGGCCTAGTAAGCACATTCTGGGCATCATAACCCCTTCCAACTGTCCCTGAGTCATAGGGCTGGAGAAAAGATGTCCAGAAGACAAATCCTCATCTGGGCCAAAAAGTACCTTACCC